TGTGAAACGCAGGACTGGCACGGTAATGGAATAATGCTCATGTCATGAATAATATCAATGAAGCTCTTTCTGGTGACATGATATATGCTTTCTTTATTGTCTGCTTACAGTGCGTATCCTCGCCGGTGATGACGAGACGATAGAACTTACGACCATTGTCGCGAAGCCTCGGCGCCCAGAGAGTGTCCTTGCGCTGGTCGTGCTCTTCCGCGCTATGGTCCTGCTCCTTGTCCCACATGAAATAGAGGGCTTGCTTCTGATGCGGATACAGCTCTGTCTTGATGTGACTAGACGGCTCTCGCGTAACCGGTACTTCATCCGATTTACTGACAACCGTATCGAAAACGTCGGCAACGTCAGCCCGGATCTCATCGACGCTTCGCAAGACGTAGATACTGCCTGGTTCTCCAGGTGTTGGCCCTTGCTGGGTGAACTGATCGGTCTGAAAGCTAGGATCTATCGCTTGGATCCGTGTAAGAGAGTCGCCATCTTGTGGGTTGTAGTAGTCGTAGCGCTGGAGCTCGAAAACGGGTCGTAGCAGCTGAATGTTCTTGCCCTTATGGAACTTGCCGATATCATGGGCCCACTTCCGCTTACAGTACAACTGGAGCGTCATGCTGATGAGCCCCGAGAAGGGTGAGCCTGGAGGACCCTCGCCAGCTTGTTTTCGTCGAATATCGGTCCAAGCCATCCATATCAGTCCATTGGCCTTCGCTCCATCTATCAATGGACACAATCCAGTTGACGACTTCATGTCGACTCTACCGAATTCTCTGCCGGTGGGGATCAGTGACCATGATATTGAGATTGTTACGATTGTTTCCAGCTCGACGGAATGAGACCTTGATTCGGCCTTGCTGACCACTGTTGCCGAGGTACTTCTTTGGGTCGGGATAAGGAACGGTGTGGGCCTGGACGTAGGTGTGCTTGACTTTGCCGACACATATAAGCTCCTCCATATTGTCTCCGACCAACTGAACATCATCATCATCGCCTAAATCCGCGTCAGACTAGTTATTATGCATTAGGGGTGGAGTGTTTACTCATTGTCAAGTCGATTGACGGTCCTGTCTGCGAGGGTGCTTGACTACTCTGTCTTTTGTAACTCGAGACTGCTGCCACCGTTAAATCCTTGGCGATGCGTAGACTTTTTGCGGTCCTCGTCGGTCTTGATTCGCTTCGCTGGTGAAGCTGTGCGCTCCTGGACGTTGTGCAACTGCTCAACGAGTGAGATTTGGCCAGCGATGGTGGGATCGGTACGCCCGCGGTCAAGGTCGCTACCAGATGATGCGGGGCGTTTTGATGCGAGTGATCGCGGGTTGAGTAGAGCGGTCGGGCTGAATTGTGGAGTGGGTGCAACATTGTTGTTGTTATTGTTGACGCGGTCCGCGTCACCTGGCAAATCGCCCGTTAGCTCTACGTTTCCCATGGCATCGAAAGCAACACCGGGCACGAAATCGAGGTCCATAATGCCGACCTCGGCGGGGAGGCCGGATCGAGCATCTGCCTGCTCGTACAGTACCGCAGACGGGTTGATTAGTGTTCTTGCACGCGGGCTGTCGGTCATGTGAGGTCAGGAATGAAAGCTTCCATGGCGTGGGAAAAGCAGAGACGATGTGGACGATATATTGCCAACCTCGGCGGGGAGGCCGGTTCGAGCAGCTGCCTGCTCGTACAGAACCGCAGATGGGTTGATTGGTGTTCTTGCACGCAGGCTGTCGGCCATGTGGACGTCAGGGATGAAAGCAACACCGGGCACGAAATCGAGGTCCATATTGCCAACCTCGGCGGGGAGGCCGGTTCGAGCAGCTGCCTGCTCGTACAGAACCGCAGATGGGTTGATTGGTGTTCTTGCACGCAGGCTGTCGGCCATGTGGACGTCAGGGATGAAAGCAACACCGGGCACGAAATCGAGGTCCATATTGCCGACTTTGGTCCTTGCCTCTCGCAGAAAATAGAGCGGAAGAGAATTAGGCAAAGAAAGGGAGATTATGTACCTCTTTTACGTGCCCCTTGCGGGTCAAGTAATAGCGCTAGATTCATGCCGCAAGAAATGCAGATGTGGTTATCGCATGTTAGAGGCGCTTCGAAACACGTGCTTAGTTAATCACAATCTAAATATCTTTACAACACGTTAACGTTGTACTAGACGACTTCTCGTATTCGGTGTCAAACGCTGAGCGATAGTACTGCTCGTTGCCACATCGTGCAAGTAAGAGTGAACTTAAACAGCGCAGCGGTGTGTGTGGACAAAGTAAGTGGGCTGGAAAGAAGGGTCGACGGTCAAAGACGGTTGAGTCGCATGCAAGACTGTCCTCTCGACGGTTCTGACAAGTTCATCAACATTGTCCTAGGAGTCAAATACAATACGTGGCAGTTACGACGCCTAATGCCTTAAGTTAAGTTGCGGAAAATACTGGGTTATTGTAGTTTCCAGGTGAGATGGTGCTCGCGAGGCGTACGCACAGACGCAGTCCACACCAACGCTCTATCGGCGCACGTCTCCCATGGCAAACCTCCATCCCTCCCTTCTAACGAAGCGACGATGCTTTCTCAACATCGCGCATCGCCTCTACTGCCACACGGTATGAAAATGGCACAATGTAATATTCTTTGTCCCTCACAATGCCGACGTGTTCCTCTGAGATAACATCTGCGTAGGT